ATATATATATATATATAATTATATAACTGTCCCGCCTGCCTGCTTACGCGGAAACAAAACTCCCTTCCGCAACGAAAGAGCGCAACAAGGGAGATAATCTCGAAACTTGCGTAATAGGTTCAATTATTTGAAGATAGGTAAAATTATTTGAAGACAGGTTCACATATTTGAACCCATGGCAAAGTGGAAGGCAGTTATTTAGCAGTTTCTTAGCCTTAACAGTTTGATCTTTTTAGCAGTTCTGGAGCAGTTACTTAGCCTTCCCTAGACTGCTAATGGAGAAACAAATTGCTTTCAAACCTTTTGTAATCTATAAGCAGTTTTCTTAGCCTTACCAGTTCGTAACCAGTTCACAGGCAGTTCACAGGCAGTTTCTTAGCAGTTCATAGGCAGTTTCTTAGCAGTTCATAGGCAGTTATTTAGGCAGTTTTTTCTAACTGCTAGTGGACTTCCAGTAAACTATTATATACTGCTTATCTATTTCCCTTTTTCAACATAAATATTAATTAGTCAGGAGTGAGGACACTTCCTATTATCCTGCCTGAAATAATATGCAACTATAATAGATCTACCTATATCAGAAATGCTTGTTACATTTTCATTTATTGTATTTTGTACAATAATTGTATAACACAGTCAAACAATTAGAGATTGCTAAGATGAATTAATGTTTCAAAAGTATCAAACACTGTTTTATGCATTCTGTTATTATAATCAGTGTAACTAATAATTAATACATGTACCTTAATTATTTACATACACTGTGATGCACAACCATGCAATTATACTCACTGACTAGTAAGAAATCTTATATATCCCAGGGCATATAAATATAATGTTCAACGAGATTCAACACTGAAGGAAAAAGTCAAAAGTACAGCAATTATTCACTTCATCCAAAAAACCACAAGGCCACAAATTAATAAATATAGTACTTGCCAATTGTTAAAAGTCTACACCATCATTTCAATAAATCTAAAGCTTTGTGGCCAGCAGGCTCCCTCTTCATGATGCTTTATTATTTGCATTGTCCAACAATACAACATGGCAGCCAAAAAATGAATTTTGGCGGTCTGTTGTTGGGTTCCTGTTGTTTATATTTGTTGATCATTGAGCCCAACATTAAAATTTCTCTTGAACCCAATCAAATTGTACAAGGAAACTGCTTACAAACTGCTTACAAAACTGCTTATGAAAACTGTCTTCTCCTCAAGCATAGGCGACCAAGATATAACTGCTAGGGAAACTGAATACTGCTTAAAAACTGCTAAGGAAAACTGTTTACTCCAAAGGCACTAGCAGTCACAAAAGAACAGAAAGCCAAACTGCCTGAAACTGTTTGAAAACTGCTTAAAATTTGCAAAACTGCTACAGAACTGCCTAATAACTGCCTATATAGGCAGTTCACTTTTCCATGGGAATATATGTTCATTTGGCGTTCCATAAGAATAGGAGATGCGCAGTGGCATTATACTGTTGTAAATTTTTTATGTTGTTTTCAGGGACCTATATACTAACATATATTGTAGGTCCCTGTTGTTATGTTGTAAATTTTTTATTTACTGCCACTCGGTAAATTCAAAATTAACATGACAATAATATATGTAAAAGAGGTTCTGGGAAAGTCTCATTAAATTTTGTTCAGAGGTAAAGGAAGAGTTGCAGATAAGAGATTATAGAAAGAATGGCAGTGTCCATGTTTGCCCAAATATGTACAAGTATCTAATCAAAACGTAAGATAGGAGGTGCACATTGATTATATGGTGAAAGTGCTTTATTTGAAAATCTTCTTTTCAGCTCCTGTGTATTTAGCAAACAAACTTAACTAAATGCATAGTTATGATGAACAAGGGTATGCCTTCCAAAATTATATATTTTATGGCCCCTCGGTCAGGGGTTGTGGTGTTAGGACGGGGCTGAAATGATTATATAGTTAAAATGCATTATTTCTTTGAGAATTTTCGACTCTGCTCCTGGGTATTTAGCAAACAAAGTAAATGTAAAGTTATGATGAGCAAGGGTGCCTCTTCGAAACTTATAAATTTCATGGCCCCTTGATCAGGGGTTGTGGTGTAAGGGTGGGGCTCTAATGATTATATAGTGAAAATGCATTATTTCTTTAAAACTAGAACTGTCCAAAAAGGACAAATACCCCCCGCTGGGTTTTTCAGAGAAAGTACCAAATCACTAATGTTTTCTATATGTGAGAGGTGTTCACAATTTGCTTAAACATTTACAGTGAAAATTTAATTACTCATTATATTTTTTATACGCCCGTCTTAAGACGGGACGTATTATGTTATAGCGTTCATGTCTGTCCGTCTGTTAGCTTTTTCATGTCCGGCTCATAACTTTAATACTATTAGGCCTAGAATTATCAAACTTTGTCAGCTGATACATCTAGGGTAGAAGGTGTGTCGCACATTAAAACCAGGTCGCTCTGACCTTTAATAAAGACGCTATGGCCAAATATGGAAAAATCATTACTAGAAAACCATTAGACTTAGAATCAAAAAACTATGTCTTTTAACTTTTAAATTACACAATCCCAAAAGATGTCAGAGTATTGCAGTATCTTTATTAAAAAAGTGTTAAATCAAGAAAACACTAGTCTTATTTTTTCATTATGTTCTTTACAGCGATCTGTAACAAGAAAAATTCCACCTCTCCCATGGGTGTGTGATAAAACTCATTATTTTATCCCTATTAATCATTACATTTCTTCATTAAATAAGTTCTCCCATTGTTATTATTAAGTCTAGGTTTATCTAACTAATTTGACACTTAGTCCATGGATAGTACCTTTCTTAAAGTTAATTGTTTACTTACCTCACGTTTTTAGACATCTTTGTTTACTATAGACGTCCATATTGCCTGTAATTCCATAACTCTATATCTTAAACGTTATCTGATAGGTTTAAAGTCTGTTATCTTGTCCAGTAATATGGGTTTTAACAGTTCACGGTTGGGTGACCGTTTCTATTGTGTACTCACACTATATAAGGCCGTGTTTCGACTATATCGTCGGACTGCTCTCCTAGCGTCCACTGCTCTGCAGCCTTACTACGGGTAAGCTCAACTTCCCGTATTCTGAGCACTTTGTACCGTTTTTCGGTACTTAGTTTATTTGCACAAGTCAAATATATCCTAAAAAGTTCAGTTCCCAAGTTTAACATTTCACATTCGGCGCCATTGTGGTCTAATAAATATTTACATTTCGATCCCGATTCAAATTCTTATTATCAAGATTACCTAAGGCTAAAACTTCTAAATAAATAAATAAAGTTACCTATTGATTTTCAAGATTATTCATAGGGTTATTTTCATTAATTCATCTCATTTTTCATAAATATTTTTCATTGTTTTGTAGAACTGGAAGTACCAGTCCATGTCATTGTAAATAAATAAACATCATATTTCCATCATTATTATCTTTGTCATATTTTGTGATCATCGGGTAGAATTCTCAGGTGGAGACTCCCCCGAACCCGACTGTCCCAAGAGCAGAATAGAGTATTATTCCCCTCTTGGGGTAGTAGTCGTATTACAGGTGTAATGATCAGGCACTGGTCAAGGAAAATTTTGATAGCAGAAAACTGCATGTCAAATTAGAGATAAATTAATGAGTTAAGTGTGAGGAGATAACTGGTAGAGCATCTCTGATCAAGCAGGTGTTATCTACATCTCTTGGGCATTGGGCAAAAGGAATCAGTCTCTTAATTAATTGCTTGTGTTGTATTGAATTGTTCTTGTTGGCTAGTCTTACTTTCAAGATAAATTTGATGTAATTAAAACTAATTTGATATTGAAAATAAAAAATTAAAACTTATATGATATTGTATAATATAATTTAAACTAATTATTTATTGTACATTTTTTATTTTAATTTTTATATCTTTACAACAAATTGCAGACTGCCTTGTCTCACTAAAATGTCATTCGAACAATTGAATCTAAACTGTTCATGATAATTTAACAATATTTGATGGGTGTATCATGCTGTGGTGGGGCACTTTATTTCATAAATGAAACTAAGGTGCAGCCTAATAAAACATCAATACTAATAATTACAGTGTTTTTTATTACATTGAAAAAATAGTTTGCAACTATCTGCCATCTTTGTGAGACATGACACTCTTATTATTATTATACAAAATCAAATTGATTTTAATACCTTTATATCAAACTCATTTTAAAAATAAAAGGCTGGTTCCAGTAACTATGTATTTTGACAGACATAAATTACAATTAAGAGACTTAAACAACAGAGATCTTTATTTCTTTCTGCCCAATTCCCCGGAGGTATAGATAAGACCTGCTTGATCAGAGATGCCCTAACAGCTTCCCACACTGAACTCATTAATTAATCTTTAACTGGATGCATGTCCACTCATTACTCCCAAGGGACAAATGGATTTACTCTATCTGCTGTGTAATGTAAAAACTGTTTTTAATACTTTGTGATTTTTTTTTTTTAGTTCTAATGAGTAGTTTTAAGCTGTAGTTCACATTTTTGTACAGATGTTCTAGATTCTATGTCTCAAACCTTTGACATGAACCCGAAATGACTAAGTCAATAAAAATAAAAAAAAACACCTGTAAAATGCAGAAAAATTATCAAATAATGTTGAAAATACCAGGTGCACAACTTCATATGGTAAATAATAAGTGTACAAATTTTCATACAAATCTATGCAATAGTCTCTGGGAACAGATCCGGACAAAACCACATAATAAAAATGAAAAAAACACCTGTAAAATGCAAAAAAATTATCCAATCATGATGAAAATACCAGGTGCACACCTTCATATGGCAAAGAATAAGTGTACAAATTTTCAGACAAATCCTTGCAACAGTTTCCAAGAAATGGTCCGGACAAAATCTCGTCTACAGACAGACGGACAAGCTGATTCCAATATACCCCCCCTAAACTTCGTTTGCGGGGGGTATAAATATTCTTCTCTGCTTCTAGGTATTCAGCAATGACAAGAAAACAACATTTGCTCTGGGGATTTAATTTATTTAAGATTCCTTCATTTCACGCAGACGACGGACGGCACTTCTAACTGTTGCAGCGGCTGTTGTGCTGTAAAACAAAACAAAAACACTGTTCATTTTTTATTATTTAATGATGCTTTATCATGCTTATCATTTTTCTATGTAAAGAAGTTTCTCGCTCAGTGGACCCTGATTTTCTACTACCAGGTATTATATTTTCCAGCACCTTTGGATCTGCTCCAGAAGTACAGAAAATATGAATGTGTCTATTTGTGTCTTTGTGTTCCATCATTTTTTTGGTCACTTACCCTTAAGGTTGAATGATTACATAAATACATGTACTTAATTTAGGAAAATGGAACAAGACATAAAAAAATGCTATTTTTCAATATGCAGAATTCATAAACTATACCACTGGTATAACTTGTTTAAGAATTCTTTAATTAGTATTGCCAACATACCAAAGCACCTCCCACTATTAGCTGAATTCTATTACAAGTATTATATGTTGTATATCAAGCGCTTCTGAGAGATGCCTGAATTCTATAATTAGCATTACTTGTACAGTAAAGCTCTCTTATAGTGAAGTCATGGGGACCTGTGAATTAACTTCTCTATATCCATAATTTGTTATAGCCATATAAAAAATTCACAATATAGACATTTTCCTTCAAACATGAATATGTTCAAAGAAGTACATATAAACTTTGGTATCTCAAACATCCATATCCCGAATACGACAGGTATGCCAAGGTCTTCTTGAAATCCAAACCATTTTTTTCTCCAAGTTTTCACCTTCAAAATCTCTAAACATTGGATATCTCTTAAGTTTTTCCATCAATGAGTTCATGAAAACGAACTTTCTCTGTATTAAATACTTACATGTAACTTCTTTTAAGTTCTTTAGGTTTGTCTGCCAATGTTTTGTAGAGCAGGCATGACCAAGTGAACTTTTTGTTTGATAAAATTTAATGGCAGCTTTTTATCTATGAATTTTCTATGTCAAATAAATTTTTAAAAATCCACTATTTGAGACAAACAGATGACTAACTTTTCTGTGACCATTCATATAAACCTACAAGTGAGTAAAATTACAAATGCCGCCCAACTAGACAACTTATCATGCATAAAAAAATAATAAACCTGTTTATCCAAAGGTGAGGGCAATTCAAATTAAAAATCTATCTGAAACCAGGTAAACAATATAATTTTCTTCTATCCATTCGGGAGCTTATGAATGAATCAATTCTATGGTTGGTTGGTTAAGAAGATAATTCACATCTTTCTTTTTTTTGGAAATATAGGAAGCATCAGCAAATGCAGAGAAAATTCTATGGGTGGTACCGCCTGAAATTTTCTGGAGTCCTGGTTTAGGGTAGACTAGAGTAGCCCTGAATTCTATAATAATTATTACCTGTATACCCATGCACCTCCTGCCACCGTCTTTCTACATCTAGAACAGCTCCAGATCCCCACAGCTTTCCTCTTCATGGCATCCTTAAAAATTTTTAGGTTTGAATCAAATTATTCCTAAAAAAAAAACTATACTCTCAGGTTATATTTGTTTTAGAGTTTCATTTCATAACTTCTATAGCAGCTAATGAGATATGCTATTCCTAAGCTTTTGGCATGTAGTGTGTATATTTGAATTTCAGAATGTTGAAAATACAGCGATATACAACTCTTCTAATAAAATTAAACTTAAGGCAAGACCTTGACCTTTCACAGTTCTGCAGATCATTTTCTGACCGTCATTCAAAAAGAAGAAAACCAGGAAATAACCCGACAGAAGTCTCTGACGAGACTGTAACTATAAAACAAGGAAATAACCAGACAGAAGTCTCTGACAAGACTGAAGCTATAAAACCAGGAAATAACCAGACAGAAGTCTCTGATGAGACTGTAGGTATAACTGAATCTTGACTAAAACTTTTTGTTTTGAATTTAAAGAATTGTGTATCCTGGTCTTTTCAAAATTTGTTGTTAGTTTTACTGAATTAAATTCAAAACTAGGGGAGTAGCATTAGGAAAGATTTTCAAAGATAATTCTATTCCGAGAAGCCAAAGAAACATCGTCCAATTTTAAACCAATAAATCAAAATTTTAAGCACTGTATGGTCTACTGAAGATTTTTTTTCAGAGGTACTTTCAGCCAATATATGTTGTCATCATTAGAAGAAAAAAAGTAGTCAGTTAATTAGTTCAGTTTTGCAGTAACCATTATCAAGATGGAAAATTTCAGCACATGTGACATCTCATCTACTGTCAAAAATGTAATTCATTTAAAAATCAGTTAATCTGATTATAATACTAAAACCAACTTCATCATGATACACATGAAAACAAAATGCAGAGTCAATCAGAATATCCAGAGGAATTTCCTGATATGGTGCAACATTATGTATTTAAAATGCAAAAATACACTAAATACGTTGTGTAATACTGATAATTTTACATGACTTGTTTTCCATTGTGCAATACGGGTTTAAACCGTTCATAGAGTTTTCTAGAAGACTGAAATATGTTATCCAAATGGCGCATAATGCATTTCTTTACCAACATCACATGTAGTATAATACTGTTACAAACCTTTCCACAGAACTGACATGTGTATCGAGAATGTTGAGAGATTTCCATTCTCTTAATGGTTTTTCGAAGGGAAGCCCCATATCGCGTTCCATACTTTCCACAAATTCCAACCTTTTTTGTTCTCTTTGCCTGATAAGTAAAAAAAAAAGAAGACATTTACACTAGTATTGCTTCTGTATCAAGCATAAAATTGTCCATGGGCAGATCCAGAGAGCAAGAATAAAAGCAAGTTAATATTACGATCAAGGAGAAGGTTCTATCCTTCCCCGACATTTTCAATGTAACTATAATTTTAAATGTCAAAAATCTCCAGATGAAAAGAAATTGGATCAAAGAGGTCATGCAGTTTAATGTTGTGAAAAGACACTTCTACACGAGAAATCCATAGGGGCTCGGTTTCAGGATGGTGAATTTTGTGTTTTAGAAGTCTGTCTATAAATATAATGATTATAATAAAAATACTGAAATTTGCATTTTTTTTAATCATGTTTCGATATACATAAAAAAAACAAGAGTTTACACTCGCTGTCTTGGATTCCAGGGGGCTTTCCTAGTTGTGGAAAACTGCCAATCATGCCAGCAAAACTGATGTAAAATGCGTGTGACCGGTAAAAATGCCATTGATGTCAGTCCAAATGAATGGTCCTTTTTTTGATTAAAGTTTTGTTTTTGTTTTTCCATTTATCATTGGCGCACTTTCCAGCCCGATTATCGTATACCTTATATGCGATTGCGTAATACTTTCTTTACACAAGATCGAGGCTATAAATGAAAGCGAAACCAGCATGGCCTCATGACCCATTAAATTTACAATTGAGGTAGAATTAGCTAAAAAAAAAAACATAAAGAAACAGATAAAGACAAGCTAAATATGAAAAATTTCGACAGAAAAAATTGAACACAGTTGGGGAAGCAGTAAATCTAGTACTTCCGACTGTCCAGGATTTCAGTTGTTTTTTTTTTCCATTGATCGTGTTGATATCTTTATTATCGATGCACAGAATTTCTTTTTTTTTTTTAAACACATTTTCTATGTTAATGTAAATTCCCAAATGCATAAATGTTTCAAAAAAATTATGTTTACTATGCTGAATTAGCATTGTCACCTGCCCAAAAGCGGTAAATCTAGTATTGTTAAAATGCAAAAACCGAAAACGGAAGAGGGCTTGGAAATGGAGACTGAATGTTATATTATTATGAAGTAAATAGATGTGTAATGAAGTACATTAATATTATGCTTTTTTAAAAATTTTGTGACTTATTATTTTGGACCGGCTAAAATCACCCCGGACCGGCTTATTTTGCCTTCTTACCAGTCCGAATGACTGGCCATCTGAAAAAGTTTTCCACAACTCTGCCTTCCTTGATCCAAACTTGATTTTTATCAATATCTTGTACTTTTCGTTCCAGAGTCGGATGAGATCTAGCTTCAAAAATGATCAATTAATTCCCTTCTATTGTCTGCCGAATTGCACATGTATGCCTTATAAAATGCAGTGAACCAAAATGTCCTCAATACCTAGCAATAAAACTGAAAGCACACTAAGGGATTACTTCTATGTGTAGAGGCGTCCAGACGGTAGACCAGTGTAAATTTCCTAAAATATCGAGATACACAGAGTTGTCCAAGCACGATGAGCGACCATCTGACTAACAGTTAGGTTTAGTCGAGAAGAAAATTGCTCCGATGTTTACATACACAAGGTAAATTTTGTCTTTGCACTGTGAACATACATTGAGATAAGCGGGATAGTCAACAACACTGAGGTCAACATATCTGATTTTTTTTCAATTTGCCAATCATTTATATAGTAAATACTGCCAGGACCATGGATGGATATTGACATATCACAGATTGTCGGCATTTTGGATGTTGAGATACTGAAGTTTACCTGTATATTTTTGACACATCTGCAGAACTGTAGCTCCAAGAAAAAAATTTAAACCGAATGGAGATCTGCAGTGCCATCCATTGAAAAAAGTGTATATTTATTGGGCACAAAAAACTGTGCTGTTGCTTGATTCATTTCTGTATGTTTTTTCAAACAGCCATCTCAAAATGTTACTAGGCATGTGTTCCTAAAAGTGATTGGGAAGGGCTTGCTCCAGTCACACTGAGGTGAAAATTGGCGCACTAGATCATCCACTGGCAGAGACAAGGTGCGCATTCAATTTTTAGCTATGCTAGTTGGAAATATTTTGCGTATGCCTTTCTTGTTTTTCTTTTGTTTCAATTGCAGTCATTTTAAGGTTGCAGAGGACAGGTCTTTTTGGCAATCAAAACATTGATGTTTTCCTGATATTGAGCTGCTTGTAAAATGTGCATTGGGAAATTTTTAATTCTCAATACATGCAACAATGGCATGTTTTAGTCCCTTGAGGAATTTGAAGCTTTTAGAACATGTACAACTTACACATTGAGCCCAATCATGACACAGGTACAAGCTCAAAATTTCACGAAAATTTAACCTATATCACCATTTTGCCAGATTTGCAACAGCTCCCAAGACCTTGCTAATGCCCTACACTACCACACAAAATTCAGACCAACATCTGTACATACCACTAAACAGCAAGAGAAATTGGTTCAACCACCTCCTTTTCAACCTACAATTCATCCTATGAACCCACCCCGCTTTTCTGAGGAAATCTTGGATGAGTGATCTTTGATTTTAGTTTCCTACATGTATTTCCAATCCATATCCTATGAATAGTAGTAGTGACACTATAGTCTCACATATTAATCAAATATACAAGGCCACCACTTCCCTCCAAATGCACACACAAAATTCTAGCAATAAGATCACCTATAATTTGCATTCAAACTTTAGGTGTCTTTACTTTTTCTAATTTTTGACCATTAACTTAATTAATCTCAAATTATCCTCTGCCACCTAATTTAAATCTCATTGGTTAAGGATACACCAAAGGCTTTTTTCAAGATTTTCAACAATTTTGAGATTTTTGGCTAAGAAAAAGAAGTTAATCACTGCTTTATAATGCATGTAAAATTCTTGGTAATTATGAAATGGTTTTCTAATTATTTAATAATAATGAAACATAAACACTACCACATGTGAATGTTCCGTTATTGAAGCTTCTGATTTGATCTGTGACTGCCTGCTCATGAAAGACGCAATAAATCACTGTGACCACTTGGGGAATTCTTCACTAGCCACAAAGAGATTATCAGTAATTAAACTACAGGGACTCTAGATTTAGAGAAGGAGATCTAACAGATCACTGATGACCATAAAATAGGAGGTGGAGCTTAGCTCTTGCCATTTTGCCGGGAAATCTTTCTGATTCAGAATTGAACCTATTTTACTTAATTAAAAGCATCTTAATACAGAAAAGAACCTCCCATTCTTGTGAATATGCATAGGAAATATGGCTAAGTGACAGGTATCCAAAGCTGAATCTCCAAGGTGTCATATATTCCTAGCTTTGGCAGATTTTGTTGTGTAATGGGTTTTTGCCCTCTACTGTAAAGTAAGATCAGACAGTTTGTGGTATTATTTCAAAGGATTCAGCTCCCTCATTTATTGACCAATTTCTCTGAAAATTGGATGGGCTTCTTCTCAAATGTGTGTTCACAAAACCGTATCTCAGATTTTTGATATCTAGCTTAGTTTTGGAATTATTGAGGGAAATGTTAAATTAGGCTAATAAATTGGTAACATTGAAGGGCAAATGGCTGTAACTTTTGAATTAGAAGATTTATCAAAAATCTGAGATACAGTTTTTAAGTTCAGTCTTTAATCTACCTTGAGGCAAAATGACCACTTTGAGGGGTTAAATACAAAAAAGTTGATTTATAAAATATTTAAGCACTAAAATTTACATTAATATTTAAATAAGTTATTAATTAAAGTTTAAATTAAGATAATTAAATAGTAAATTTAACAAGCTTTCAAATGATATATACTTTTATTATGTTATCTTTGATAATGAAAGAATTACATGCAAATTAAATTCTAGCATTTGGAAACCTTTGGTATATCCTTAAAACCATTGAAAACTGCTTCCTGCTATACAATGCACTAAATGTGCAACTAAGGTACATTACCTCATTCATTTCCTGTGCTAAATCAAAATTTTGATGTTTTTGATTAAAAAATACAGGTAAATTATATTGAATGCAAGTTCCCTAAAATTTGCTGCACTAACTACTTGAAAAATAAAATTTGGTTAATAAAAAACACATTTTCTTTCGTATTTCATATTTGTCATTTTGCTATTTCTTTAAATGGCCCTTTAGAATATTTTAATTTAGATGGCTCATTTATTTTCAAATGGCCCATTCAAAATTTTGACAGTTGCACATAGTTCCATTGACCTTTGTGGCCTTCCCTATCACTGTCCCAACATATTCTTTTACTATTTCCTCAACAAAACATTCCTTAAAGATATACATGCTATAACTTGCGTCAGTTAAAAATAAAGCTGGAAATTTATTTATTTTGTTTACCAAATAAAGTTACGAAAATATTGTAAATTACACCACTGGAAATGAACGCATTATAAAGATCTCAAATTATAATTATTTATTATCCTACTAGGATAGTAATGCCTATTTTTAAATTCATGCATCATGTGACACCGTCGCTACTTTCAGATTGATAAACAAAAATGGTGTCAAGAAAACGAGGTAGGCCGTTTGGTATACAAAATAACTTTTGACATGGATGGCATAAGTTTTATGCTTAAAGATACTTATCTTTGAAAACAACCAGTATTAACTATCTACTCTGTGATGACAGATATTAACTTTATTCAAATTCGTACTCAAAATGCATTGTACCTCGTTGTCTATGATTTCCTGTGAACATGCGTGTCTATATACTGTTTACACACTTCCTTCATCAATATTCATGAATAGGTTGAATTCTTAATTGCAGGTCTTGCTTAATTGTTTTGTAATTACAACTTATTTAGTAAAACTTTGTGGAAAGCAATTATTTTTTATTATACATCATATTTCTCAAATCATTTAATCATTTTGTTTCATAAAAAATCGCGTTTATGTAGCGTGTGTATCTTTAAAAATGTTGTTCACAGCCCTCCTGGGCCTGAAATTAAGACCATCGAAGATTTTGCCTATTTATACTGCCAATTTTGGTGGCTAGATAATTCTATTGAATGCATTTAAGACATATGTCAACAACAGGAGTAGTTTTTTTGTTTGTTTGTTGTTTAACGTCCCTCTCAAGAACTTTTCACTCGTATTGAAACGCCACCACTTGCTGGTGGAGGGCTGCAAATTTTGACCTGTACTCGGCACTCAGGGCCATAGAGCAGTGAGGGATCTTATTTGTGCCAGCACCTACTGTGTCATGGGACCTCGGTTTATACAGTCTCATCTGAAGGACCGGCCTCCAGTCAATAGAGGTCTAAAGAATTTTTTGAAATTGAGCTTTTGTGCATTTGACTATATATTGAGGTATAAAATTTAGAGAAATTCATCCAGAACCAAGAACAACTTGTGCGTAATGAATATATGAAAGGAAAGGAGAAAATGTATGGTTGGACAGGGAATCAAACCCAGGACCCCTGCATCACTAGTCAGGTGCTCTACCAAATGTCAGAGCTATCCATGCCTATATCCCCCAACCACAAACTATTACAATATGGATGCCATTGTACCTCTTTGGTCGTCCATCCCAATTTTTTCATACCACCAAGCTACATATCTGCAGCTTATTTAGACAGACATAGAAAAATAACACTACATAAAGTACACCATTCTGAAACCGAGTCCCTGTGGAGAAATCCAACTCTTCTTCACTTTACGTTAAGCCTACACCATTTCAAACTTTGATTGATCAAAATTGACTTGATATCTCAAATGTAATTCATTCCGTTTATTGAACTTTACTTCTACAGCGACAGATGTTTAAAATTCGTTCCGATTTCATTTGATTTAACACAACATCTATCACCCACCATGATTCTTCCCCTCTTGTAGTAGTAAAAGGAAGTAAACATGGAAGAGTGAAGAAAAAAATGGGTAAATAGCCACAATTATTCCGGGATTGCGAAAACGATTCTGGAGAAGCGAAAAAAATATTTTTCCTGGCCTAAATAATTATATATCAACACTATGAAACATACATAAGTCATTACAAATAATATTCATATCACGAAATATATAAATAAATTAAATGTCCGGAAAGGTTCTGAATATGCTTTGTTTCTTATGCTGATTTGCTTTTATCCGGTTGCAGGTGGGTCACTGTCAGTGCAGTTGTGAAATTGCAAGAATCGGGTGGAAAATTCTTTCAAACATTAATTCAGGTAACAGGTAAGACATTGTTTGTGAGGACAAATAGGACTTTAAATTATATCTTAGCTGCTTTAAAAGTTGCGGTTGGTTTACATAATATCAAGAAATAATTGTTGTGTAACAGCAGGGTTCGACACAGTCTGATTAAAACCAGCTCCCCTTCTCCTGTCCTGACGAGTGAAAGGAGAAGGGGGGTTGGTTTTAATCAGACTGGGTTCGACACTAACATTTTTAGGCTTTAGTCCGGCCAGACTAGTGCTTCTTTCTGGAGTCCGTCAAACATACATGCCAACTTTTGAAAATTCCCATGGGGGATTTTGCGCGTGATGACAATTTTCAAAGCTTTAAATTCGCGACATTTTGTCGTGAAAATAAATGTTTATCCCATTTTTTTTTTAATTTATAATATCAATATCACTTGTTAATACAATTTAAGAATAATTAATACAAACAAATTTTTTTCCTTCCAAAATTCAAATATCTTTTTAGTTTAACAACATTATGTTTGAAAAAGACACATAATTTGGTGAAAATGTACAACTTTCAGTTCAAATAAATTTTTTTGCAAAGTTTTAGAAATATATATAAGGTTTTGTTACTGTACAGTTTCTGGGAAACATTTGTTAAATTCTATATTTACATTTTACACAATTAGAATTTCCTTATTAGACATTAAATTGAAAGAAATATTGAAAAATTGCAATGCATTGTGTGTGTGAGTGAGTGTGTGAGTGTGAGACAGAGAGAGAGAGAGAGAGAGATAGGAAAATTTGTTTGTGGTATGTACTTTAAATAGAAGTGTCATTTTATTCCCTATTAATAAGTAGACATCATGATGATTAATTTTATCACACACACAAAACAATTTGAAGAAATGAATTTACTCTTGAGATCATCAATTATTTATAACAAGGATACCCCCTATCCAAAACAAAAATTAAAATTGTTATAATCATGATGAACTTTTTCATATTAATCCTGGCAGTGTCGTGTGGGTATTCCCTTGTCATATTACATGGGGGGGAGGGGGGGGGGATTCAGTGTACTTGAGGTATAAGACTTTTTTGTTTCATCTAAATTATTTTTATCTCATTTTAACCGGTAAAATTTACAATATTTTTATTACAAGCAGATAAAATCAGCAGCTATGCTTTGTTGTTTTCTACTTTCGTTTTTAAGAAACGATCAACAAGGATTAATCAGTGTTAATTCCGATTTTGTTGATAGTTTATCATATCACTGTATTTAATTTTTGTTTTTAATAAAATGATATTTAATTAACCCCTAAATCTATGTGTTTCACTATGCATACCCCTTCTGACTGAAAAGTTTAATCCCCTAACTGCTCCAGGCTATATGTTACCTGTACCTGGACAGCTGTGTGCGTTCAAGCGAGAAGTGATTTCCTGTGGCTAATTAACACCTCTGTCTGAGTTAAATAAACAAAGGACTAATCTGTGTGCATTGAATAAACAAGTCTGATATTCTAATCCTGATTGACAAAATATTGCGGTAGGGAAACTCTGAAAATCGGAAATTTTAGGGTGAAATTCTTTCAAATCGGGATTTTAGGGCAATTTTGCTTTCCCGATCGGGAGAGCGGGATCAAAGGGTAAAATCGGGAGGATCCCGCCTAAATCGGGAAAGTTGGCATGTATGGTCAAAAAGGAAACGTCAATGTTTTGTACCGATTAATTTAAAATAAACATAACAATATTGTACTTTTTTTTTGAAATAAACAAAGCATTAATGATAAGTGTATCTATTTCTCAGATTTGTTGAAATCTGTCGATTAGTTTGTATTCCCGATCTCGTTCTTTTTTCTCTATATATTACGTCCAAAACGTTCGACATCATTTTTATGTGTCATACCAAATCATTATTGCTAAACATCAATCACTCGTAAAGTACTCGTAAAGTTAAGCTCTGAATTGACTCTGAATTACCCACCATGAAGCTAGAAAGCTAAAAAATACATGCGGGGTTTTCCAGTAAAAGTTGTCAAGAATAGAACATCAGTAATTTATTCATTTTGTTTTGCAGAAATTTTTATTGGTCCGCTCGGACTAATAAGCCATAGATTTTATTAGTCCGAATGAAAATGTAAATGTAAATGAAAATGTCTAAGACCAAGGACTAACGTAAGTGTCGAACCCTGAACAGGAAAGGAGAAAATGTATGGCTGGACCGGGAATCGAACCTGGGACTCCTGCATCACTAATCAGGTGCTCTCACCGACTGAGCTACCCAGGCCGATATCCATGGCCCAAACCATTACATTCCTCCCTCCTTAAATTGTCTTTGCCCTCGAAGACACAACCCAAGTTCTAATTAGCCCCTGGCAGGACTTTCACTTGCAAGTTCAGGGGTGGTCCATGGCACCAAATCTGTAACGGGAAAGGAGGAAATGTATGGCTGGACCGGGAATCGAACCTGGGACCCCTGCATCACTAGTCAGGCGCTCTACCGACTGAGCTACCCAGTCCGATATCCACGGCCCAAATCATTGCAGTTGTACTGTATATATATTTCTCAAAATTGTATGCTCCTTACATTATGAAAGAATTTTCTCCCAATCGTTAGGACAAATTCACAAAGTCAGCAAACTAAAATATAAAATATAATGCAAAATAAAGGCTAAACGTTTCAGCAAATATTTAATATTTTCATGTTCTAAATATTACAAGAAGATGTATTTGATAAATTTTAATAATCTCAATAATGGGGTTTAGTATGGATGTTAAGGCATTGCGGGGATAAAGGTGTCTCCTCCATTGCCTAAACGCAAGTTGCCGAGAGTGATTCAACTGAGACAATCTCTACCAGAGGGCAACCCGCAAGCTTCAGTAACACCTGAAGCTTGCGGAGCGCCCTCTGGTAGAGATTGAATTGTGAAAACTTCGTTGCTTCTTGAGTTTAAGTCTTTTGGATATTTTGTTGTGTCTGTATTATTCCTGCTTCCTTATTATTGTGAAGGATTAATTATTGTGTTTTTGAAATCTATTAAGTCTTATGAATGTGCATCTTTATCTTTTTTATAAATAAAAGTGTAACATTTGAGTAAACGTTTTTGACAAGATTAAAGGGCTGATCAAGAAGGGGGTGGTCAAGGGGGTTTGAACTTACGAAAGTCTTAGGAAGATCAAAGAAAGAGGTCATAAAAAAACTTAATAGAAAGTCTTAAAACTGGCTACAAGATGTTACATACTAGAGCAAAGGTATTGTAAATGGAGTGGGGAGTTAGGGGGTTGTGAAAACTGCCTAAACGTCTATGTGGCGACCCCCCCTTTTCGTAAAATCCTAGATTAGCCTTATGAGATCGGCTACTGACTTTTTATGGATTTATGCTACGTGAATTTGAATTTGGATGAATAAACTTTCTGTTTTTTTATAATTGACAAAATAATGCAAGAATCTGCATACATGGGATCATTTGAACCCCAAACCTCTGTTCTCATCTGTACTCATGCGAAAAAACTATCACAAAATAAGGTTCAAATATTAAAGTGACCAAATCTGCTATATATAGATACAAATAAATGCTGAAAACATTTTTCCTTCAACAAAATTTCTGTTTCCGGATGCTTTAAAACTTTAATTATCATAGATAGAAAAATCCACTGGCTGACTCTCTAAGCTTTTTTTAAAAGCTAAACTTGTAATAATAGTAATACACAGGCAACTGACGTTACTTATTTTCTTTAGATAAAATTTTTTTTTCTTTAAATAAAAAAAATATACCCCCTACCGAATTATTACATAGACCTCCTACCAGTTATTACATAGGGGGTATATTTTTTTTTAATTTAAAAAAAAATAAGTAACGTCAGGTGCCTGTGTAATAATAATAATAAAAGTTACTGAATGATTGGATTTTCACTCATTTCACATTTCTTAAAACTAAATATTTACTGCTGCAAAAAGCTGAAAAGAGTGATGAAATATTGCTAGAATATAGAATTTTTTTTTTACGAAAGTTTATCTGTGTTAAAACTGTAAAATTGAATATGTTCAGCATCTGTTAATCCATACATGAGATTATTCATTCTAGACTAATCTAATTATACATGTATATCATTTCTTTTAAAGACAATCTTTAATACCATTGCTTCTTTGACACATGCAAAGCATTATCTGAAATATTCAATTTTAAAAGATACTCATTCAAAGCAGTTTTAGAATGAATGCCCTTATCATAGTTTCGGTACTATTTGTCAACACTGAAAACTGAAGTGATAGTCATTGATTACTGCTGCATAAGAGTTTAAATACATATGCATGTTGATTGTTCAAAGATGTCAACTCTATGAAGCCAGAGACATATAACAGAGGGACCGAAGCCAAGCTCTAAAATTTACCAATTCTTGACAAATAATAATATATTTCTAAGAGGAAAAATTCACAGTTGTTGCAAGAATACTTATGACTCAGGCTTGTAGCAATGATTTTAAATAGAGGGGGCAACCTACAAAAAAAACTTTACCATATCCTAATTGGAGGGGGTCTCCCCCTTTTTTGGTACTTTTTTTTTCAAATCATGGAATTTGCCAGTACTCCACCTTACAGCAAAAAAAATGGGGGGGGGGGGGAGGGGGGGCAGCAGCATCTAAATGGAAATTTACCATAGCAAAATACTAACTCAGAAAAAAATGGGGGGGGGGGGAGTATTTTATTCTTTATGTAAATTTAATCTAATGTTTGCA